AAAAAAAAAAAAAACAACAAAGATTGCAAAGCTAGATCAAAGCCACACTACAAGGAATTTTATAGGATCTGCAAATTTATTGAGGTAAACGCTGAGAGGAATTGTATATAGTAAGAGTTATGCCTTAATGCCCATAATGAATGTTATGCTTTGCCTTATCTACTGCTCAGGAAGTGTCCTCACAGAACAATGCTTAGGTGTTTCTTGTTAAATACTTAACTTCCTTTACTACATATTCTTATTTTTAGAACTATGTCACCCACAAGGAGGAAATTATTATATTGTCTTGGTCTTGAAACTAGTTATGAAACCATCATGAGTGCTGTGTATGTACTATATATGTCTGTATACATTTCTTATGAGTGATTGGTTGGTACTTTGCCTCTTTTGTTTGTATGCATATATAAGTTGACCATTTGGAATAAGCCCTTGAATATTGATCCACAGCACTTTGTTGTCATTGCTCTTTACTGTGCTTGACCCCCAGCCTACAGTAGAGATTGCAGGACAGACAAAGGAATTAACCCTATCAGTTCACTGGTGTCAGAAGTGGGACACTTCTGACACCAGAAGTGACCCTTTGAGTGACCCTTTGTTTTTCTTCCTCACCTTGTTGTTAGTATCTAACTAACCTCGCTTTGGTAGAAAACCTTGCTTTGGTTGAAAACCTTGCTTTGGTAGCAGGATAATATTTGAAATAAATTGCCTTGGCTTGTATAGAGTTTAGAGGTCTGCTGTGGGAGTGCCCAGTATTATGCCGTAGAGGATGTCCTATTTTTCTGTTTTGTTGCTGTGCTTGCTGCTTTCCTATAATTGCTGTATTTCTTTCGTGAGGTGCTGAAGGGTCGGAAGACGTCCCCTTTTCTGGCTAGGCAAAAGCAGTTAACCTGGCTGTCTTGGAAAGCAAGTGGCTTCCTAACAGCCTAGTCCGCTTTTATTTGCTTGTTTTTTGATACTTATAAAATGGGAAATTCCCATGGTAAGGGAAAATATTCAAGTAAGCCTGCTGATAATAGCATTACGTATAAGATCCACAGCAATGTACCTAGACCTGTTGCTAATCGTTCCACCGCTCAAATTATGCCCCTCCTGCTTGAATAGGAAACCACCAAAGAATTTGTAATGCGCATTAGCGGTGCTTATTATACAGACCCATGGACACATAATATAGCAGGATAAACCAAGGGGATGAAATCCCCTGACCCATTTCCCAGGGAAGGATCGATGACAGAGAAGCATTTCCATGGCATGAGAGGGATCCAGAGTGGGATATAAAATAAATGAGAGGTGGATATCGGGGACATGTCAGAGGTAGAGGTGGTTTTTCAAGCACTAGGCAATGAATAGACCCCCAGAAAAGTCAAAGGTGTTTTTGATGTGAACAGTTGGGACACTGGAGGAAGACAGCAGCCTGAGTCCGATCATAGATTACAGAGAGCTGAATAAGAGTACAATAAAAAAAGTGTTACCCCTTACCTCTTATTCATGAGTTACTAGGACAAATCCAGTCAAGGAAGATCTATATAAAACGTGATCTGAAAGGTGCATACAATCTCATCCGAATTAGAGCTGGCGATGAATGGAAGACTGCTTTCTGCACTCTATTTGCTGTACGAATACCTAGTGATGCCTTTTTGGGCTCTGTAATGCCTCAGCAACTTTCCAATAATTCATAAATGAAATTTTCAGAGATTTGCTGGATGTTTGTGTTGTGATATACATAGATGACATCCTCATTTACACCAATAATCTAACAGACCATCACAAACATGCTAGGCGGGTCTTATCTAAATTAGATTAAGTCCATAAACTTTATGCAAAATTGAAGAAATGCATCTTCGAAGCATCTCCATTTCTTTTTTAGGTTACATCTTTTCTTCCAATGGTATTCAGATGGATAAAACCAAAATTATTTATATTGTAAATGGGCCCAGACCCCAGACCAGAAAAGCATTACAGAGATTCTTAGGATTTTACATTTTTTACCGGAAATTCATTACGAACTTCTCTTCCATAGTCAAGCCCCTAACTACATTAACAAGTTCTAAACAAAAATTTGTTTGGAATAACCAGGCCCAACAAGCCTTTGAAGATTTAAAACATCACTTCACTACTGCACCTATTCTACATTTACCGGATCCTAATCTAAAAAACAAATAATTTCAAACAGGGGAACTCAGTTAATCTCAAAATTCTGGAAGGCTCTCTGTCTAAAGTTACAAATTGATCATCGCCTTTCAAGCGCATATCATCCACAAACAAATGGCCAAACTGACAGAATTAACTGTTGTCAAGTCGAATATGTTGTTATTGTACTTACCTTCAGAATAACTGGTGCGATATACTTCATTTGCAGAACTCACTTACAATAACACACTCAGTCCTTCAACAAATCCTCCTTTTTACTCCAACTGTGGGTACCATCCAACTTTCTTACCAACCAATTTCAGTCCAACTAACAACCCTGCCACAGAAAATCACTTGCAATGCTTGAAAGAAGAGTCAGTTCAGCTTAAAACAAATATTGAAAAGGCTCAGGCCAAACAAAAACACTACTATGATTTGAGAAGAGAACCGCCACAATACCAAATTGGGGACCTAGTTTGGCTTTCCACAAAGAACCTAAACTTGAAAACGCCTTCTAAAAAATTCAGTAGTCTATTTATTGGGCTGTTCCCAATACAAGGAATTATTAACCAATCCGCTTTAAGCCTCAAGTTTCCACACAATCTTAAAATCCACCCCACTTTACATATATCCTTACTAAAGCCACATAAGCCAAATACCTTCCTAAATTGCTCACCACCACCTTTAACTCCAATTATAGTAGGAGGCCAGTAATAATATGAAGTTGAGGAAATTCTAGAATCAAGGTTGAAAAGGTTGAATAGGAACAGATTACAATACTTAATCTGTTGAAAATCTTATGGACCACAAGAAGATTCTTGGGAAGATGCTACCAATGTACATACTCCAAAAATTTCCATTTATGGTATCCTCATAAACCTGCTAAAACCACTACCCACATTATGGGTTCTTTGTGGAGGGGGTACTGTAACATATTCACCTCTCCTTGCACCAGCTCTGGAATTCAGCACCGCTTCACTGCCTGTCAAAGGCTAAGGCGTCATCCAGCTCCTCCTTCCCAGTTGGCTTAAGCCAGGAGGTTCAATTGCTCAGTGGTCCAGCAATGTGCTGACACTGAGCAGGTGTACTCAGAGAGCGCATCATCTTAACTACTGCTGCAGACTGTTCCACTCTCCTTCCCGGCAATTCGCTATATTCACCTTGACTGGAAGCTATTTCATTCCACTCTCTATCCTGGCAGATGATCAGAATCTCATCCTTTTACATTACAACTCCTGTCAGGTCTACTAGTCCTCACTCCTACTCAAAAGGGGAAGTGTATGACATAGGATGCACTGTCTCCTCTGTTGCTGTGCATAGGCTACCTGCGCCTCCATATCCTACCTCTCTATACAGGATATGAGCAGCTTCCATGAGAGTCTCCATGTTGTACAACCAGCGCAAGTGAAGTCTGTCTGCAACATCACAAGTACTTTTACTCAATACTGCTTTTCATAAAAATGTGTTTATGATTATGAAGTGAAGTTTAACTTCTATTTTATTGAGTTATATGCCAAGTAGCTGGACTGTAGTGAAAGGCATGCTGGATATTAGTATTTCCTAATTATTACTGGCTATAACTCTTTATCTATTCTACTAGTGAATCCTGTACAAGTGGCTTATGAAGTAATATAGTCACTCACTTAACATTGTGTTGGGACGCATGGGCCTGTGTTCAGGTAATTAGCATATGGACCCGCAGTTGAGATTCAACCTTATATTAATTTGTTATATCAATCTATTTTCATTACAGATTACTCCAGGGATATGCTGACTCATCTGCAGTGTACTCATTGGCGCTCCGTGAAACCCTTAAAGGTTGGATGCCACCCAATGGTTTTGTCCTCCTACAGTATGTGGACAACTTGCTTGTTTGCAGACTTGACTTGTCAAGAGGACACTGTCTGATTATTATTTCACTTGGCACAAGAAGGTCACAAGGTTTCCTATACCATTCCTTTATACTGCAATCTTTGAAGGCTTGTCAAGTGGATACTGTCTCATTATTATGTCACTTGGCACAAGAAGGTCACAAGGTTTCCTATACCTATCTTTAATACTGCAAAGAGTAGACATGTGCAATTCGTTTCGTTCCGAATCGAAATTCGGACGAATTTTCGGAAATTCGGACGTTCGGATGTATCCGAATTCCGAATTACAGACATAACGAATGCAAACTAATCCGAATTTCCATTTCCGAAATTCGGTAGCGGTAGTTCAAACGTTCGTTTCGTTTTCTGTTCTTATTCGTTTCTTATTCGTTTCGCTCATTGGAGCAAAGTGACATTAGAGAAGGAGAAAAATATTTTTCACCCCTCAAATGTCATTTTGCTGCAAACGAACGAACGAAACGAATAAGAAACGAATAAGAAACGAATAAGAACAGAAAACGAAACGAACGTTCGAACTACCGCTACCGAATTTCGTCCGAATCCGAATTCCAAATCCGAATTGACTTTCACACCCGAATCCCGAAAAACGAAATAACACAAATCCGAATTTAAAACGAAACGAAACTAAACGAATTTTTTGGCAGTGCACATGTCTAGAAGAGACTGTTCAATATTTGGGCTTCACATTGTCTCCAGGAAAACTCCACCTTCTACCCCATACAGAATACAGGCACTGCTATCTTTAAAGGAACCACACACAAAGAAGGACATGTTGAGTTTCTTGGACGTGATAAATGTTTGCCGTCAATGGATTCCAGATTGCTCCTACTATGATAGCACCTTGAGAGAGGCCACTCAACAAGACAAGGAAGACCCAATATGCTGGACTGATGAAATGAGAAGGTCTTTTAAAACACTGAAACAACGGTTAGCCTCAGCGCCTGCGGTTGGGTTGCCAGACTATGGAAGGGCGTTCCATATTTATTGTAGGGAGGAGTGTAATACTATGGTGGCAGTTGTGGCCCAGGAACATGGAGGTGCCATGAGGCCTACTGCTTTTTTCCCCAAGATTCTACTTCTCTCAGTCCAAGGGATGCCAGCCTGCCTGTGCCTCCTGGCAGCATGTGCCATGACCATGGAAATGGCACTGCCCCTGACTTTGGCTCATGGGACTATCTTACTCACCCCTCATCAAGTTTCTTTTACTTTAACCTCTAATCTAACTGTCAAATAATCCTCCCCCACTTCAGGTCCCATCCAGACGTTGAATGCTTTATTGAAATTTAAAGTAGATGAAGATATTCCCCTTGAGGAACATGGCTGCCTAGAGGTCATACATACAGACACCTCTCCTAGCTATGACTTAATGTCCACTCCTATTACAAGTACCCTGGATATTTTTGTAGACGGCTACTGTCCCCGTCCAAATGACTTTACATATCTGACAGGATATGCAGCAGTTCAACTCCCAGATTTGTACATGAGGCTGGCCCCTTACCACAGGCATCGGCATATGCTGTAGAACTGATTGCTCTTACCAGAGCATGTTATCTTTTCAAGGTCAGGATGTCAATATCTATACTGATTCTAAAGATGCTTTTGGGATTGTATGTGACTTCGGGCTTATGTGGCAGCGCAGGGGTTATGTGGCCGCAAATGGGAAGTCCATTTCACAATTCACCCTTATTACTGTCCTTACACATTCCTCAGGATCTCAAGGCTTCATTTTAACACAGAACAAACATTTCTGAGTTTTGGTGCTGCCCCCTTCAATATTGCTGCTCTAGGCACCGGCCTGCAAGTGCCTTGTGGTAATACAGCCCTAAATGTACGCAAACCTATGCAGTTGTATTTTATGTTGATTTTTGTTTTTATCTGTTTTTATCTGTTTTGTTAAATTATCTGTGCATCATCAATAACACAAACACAGCTGGTTGCGTGATAAAGCATGATAAAGTAAGACTTGTTTTATTAACAATTGAGTAGGCGACAAGGACAATAGAATCATGATCAAAATTCAGCAGATTACATCAGTAGTACACCTGAATATGTATAGTCACAATAATCCTAAAACAATCTAAATAATGAGTCTAGGGGATTGATTTACTAAGGGCAAATAAGCTGTTCACTTTGCAAGTGAATTTGTACTTTGTAGGTGAAGTTTACCCTTAGTTTAATGACTGTGGTAAAATCCTGCTGACCTCTACTACCCACTCGTGTACAAGCAAAAAACACTGTGTTCTTTATTTTCCATACACGTAATTGGGTATTCTTTGCAAAGTGAAATTTTACCTCATTCACTAAGCTAAGGGAAACGTCCCCTGCAAAGGCCTGTTGGCCTTTAGTAAATCAACCCATAGGTCTCAGTGTATCCACCACATTAAAATTAGGCATACTGCATGCTAATGCTCCATTAATATATCCAAACGTAGACAATACCAACATGTTTCTAACGATATGATTACAAAAATGTTATTACAATGAATAGAATGTCTGAATACAACTTGTTCTGGATTATGTTAATACAACTCCCTGAAGCCTCAACAGACAAAAGAAGAGTTCCACTTTGATTAAGCATGCATTCATGTATGCATTCACGTACCATTCCCTATCAGATCCTTACACTGATCGGCCTGGTTCATATTTGTACTCATTTGGCACATAATCATTGTACTTTGCACAATTAATTCAGAATTACTGATTGTTACACCATCTGAGTGAAGCAAATTGTCTTGCAACTTTGTGTGCTATAAGGGCTCATTCGCATTCACGCTTTATTTTGCATTGTGACACACTGGGGTTGATTTACTAACCTTATAAACACACCACAAACATGTATACACCTCTGTAGTGTGTTCCCTCCCAGCATGATCTATGGGTGGAATCTAAACACCTTTGTAGTGTGTACACACCCAGCAGGTGTGTTGTGCAAAGCCCTGCCCTGAATTGCAAGGTGATGTTGTGTAAATTAGCTCTACATTGTGTTGCTTGCGTTGATGAATGCAGGAATGTAAATGCATGAGCTAACCATTTTTGTCTAAACTGTGAAGCAGCATTATATATGCATCAGGTGCATGATTTTTCCATATATGGCATTAGTGGAAATATGCTTATAGAGACTTTTTGGTTGATAAACACGCTTTGCTGTGTAAAAATCACACGCACCTGGTGCGTGCGTGTGTTTAGGTTAGTAAATCACCCCCACTTTGTTACCGCAGCTCATTTCTTTTGAATGGGCCCTCAAAGCAGATGAAATCGCATTTGCTCTATTTTTCTGCAGCAAACCGCAGTGTAAATAGTGCACACCACATCATGGTGTGCTCTAAAGCAGGTGCCTCCTGCACATACATTTGGGTGCCATCCAAAATGAATGAAGTTTTGAACAGCACCCCAAAGGAGTTATGAAATTATGCTGCAATCTTAACATTTGTAAAATACCGCTCATTATTGTAAATTATTGTAACACAATGGTCTGAATGAGCACTATAGGTCTTAAAAGTGCTTAAAAGAAGACAGCAATAACATTTTATATTTTGCGCTCAAGCACAATGCAGTCCCCAAAAATATTGTTCAGTAGACTATTATGTCTTTATTCATTATGGATCTTTTTACGTGTTTAAAGGACAGAACTCCAGAGTGTCTATAACTGGAAGGCCAACGTATTGAAATTGAGTGAGTAACTTCAAACGTTTATTACTGACCTATAGAAATTAACATGTCTCTAACTAATCCCAAACCTTGCATAATTTCAGTTGTGTCTACTGTGTATGGATCTTGCTGGATCTTGTTCATGTCCTATGCCAAGTTTTACCTAGATGAAGCAGATCCCGGAGGCCGCATAAGAAGAAAACAGAGAAAGACACCAAAAGACTTCGGGTAATACTCAAATACATAGGGTTTCTCCAGAAGAGTCAAAACCATATTAGCATACACTATGATGGTGATTACTGTGGCTAGTCACATGGTGAGCTTTCACTGTGTGGTGAGATCCTGGAAGTAGAAGATAAGATATTTAACTGTATTAGTAATCTAGGTCACATTATAAAGGACTGCAAATTGTCTATGTTTCTCATATCTTTCCACCACATTCCGATTATTATTGTTATATAATTAGTCAGATAGAAAAAAGGACATATTCAATGAGGTTAAAAAAAAGAACAGAAAAAAATGTAAACTTATCCTTTTAGACCTGAACCTGCACCAGTACACCCCTCCTCGCAACAGCCAGAAAGAGAGAGAATATAAAAAAAAATGATTATGCTTGATCCAATTGTCTTCTCGAGCCCCAGAAAATTGTATTAGTGAGGCTTTTCACCCAGGATTCCTACTGAGGTGGCAAGAGATTCCACAAACAGTGGGGAATCGATTCCCCCCACCCCCCTTTCTGAAGTTATATGCATAATTCAAGAACAAGCATTACTCAGCGGAGACAGTGGAGTGGCACCACTGGAGCCTCTCCTTTATTCTCTCAGGTAAGTAACCACAGACTCTAATAATCTTTTTATAATGTACACTATATTGCCAAAAGTATTGGGACTCCTGCCTTTACACGCACATGAACTTCAATGGCATCCCAGTCTTAGTCCGTAGAGTTCAATATTGAGATGGCTCACCCTTTGCAGCTAGAAAAGCCTCAACTCTTCTGGGAAGGCCGCCCACGAGGTTTAGGAGTGTGTCTATGGGAATGTTTGACCATTCTTCCAGAAGCGCATTTGTGAGGTCAGGTACTGATGTTGGATGGGAAGGTCTGGCTCGCAGTCTCCGCTCCAATTCATCCCAAAGGTGTTGTATCGGGTATAGGTCAGGAGTCTGTGCAGGCCAATCAAGTTCCCCCACCCCAAACTCGCTCATCCCTGTCTTTATGGACCTTGCTTTGTGCACTGGTGCGCAGTCATGTTGGTACAGGAAGGGGCCTTCCCCAAACTGTTCCCACAAAGTTAAGAGCATGAAATTGTCCAAAATGTCTTAGTATGCTGATGCCTTAAGAGCTCCCTTCACTGGAACTAAGGGGCCAAGCCCAACCCCTGAAAAACAACACCACACCATAATCCCCCCTCCACCTAACTTTACACTTGGCACAATGCAGTCAGGCAAGTACCGTTCTCCTGGCAACCACCAAATCCAGACACGTCTATCAGATTGCCGGACAGAGAAATGTGATTCGTCACTCCGACGCTTTGCATTGCACTTGGTGATGTACGGCTTGCATGCAGCTGCTCGGCCCTGGAAACCCATTCCATGAAGATCTCTATGCACTGTTGTTGTGCCAATCTGAAGACCACCCAAAGTTTGGAGGTCTGTAACTGACAGTTGGTGACTTCTGCGCACTATGCACTTCAGCATGCGCTGACCCCGCTCTGTCACTTTGTGTGACCTACCACTTTGTGGCTGAGTTGCCGTTGTTCCCAGTTGCTTCCACTTTATATAATATCACTAACAGTTGACCGTGGAATATTTAGTAGGAAGGAAACTTCACGGAACACCTAAATCCAATTATTTGGAGGGGTGTCCAAATACTTTTGGCAATGTAGTGTATATCGAGCCAAAACCTTGTTTTTCGCTCTCTGTAGAATGTGGAAGTGTTAGACTTTCAGTCTGGGAAAACTGTTGCTACTGGGACAGAAAATGAAGGAAACTTCACTAACGGAATGCGAAATAACAATATTAAAGGAGAACTATGGGGTTAAGGCTTTTCCCCATAGTTCTCCTTAGGGTAACAGGAGGACACAAACTAGTGTCCTCCCTTCACCCTAGGCTCAGTATACCGTGAGCAGCAGCTCGCTATGTGTTCGCTCACCTCTCGATCTACTGAGCCGACCTTGACAGTCTCATTGTCACAGGTCGGCTAGAACTATGAGGTGAGTGAAAAGCACTCACCTCATAGTTCTCCTTTAAGTTTAAACAGCTGGATATTTGCTGACTGTCAGGTGGGCATTCTTCTGAAAGACCATCAGCTCAAGGGGAACTACAATTTAGGGGGGTTCTTCTCCTACTGAGACCAATTTATGAGGACACTTTCCAACTGACTACCAACTAACTACTTAGGGGATCTTTCTCATTGATCACAAATTTATAAGGGGAACTTTTTAATTGACCACCAACACCAGGGACATTTTTACTCTTACCACCAATGCAAGGGGGCACAATACTGATATACTGTGACTTGAAATGTATTTATTTCATAAAAAGGTGGAGAAAGGCTGTCCTGAACAAAAATTCTACTATGTTTAAGACTATGTATGGTATTTAAAAATTTAGTAAGTCTTTTATGTTTTCTACTTTTATAAAAGCACCCACATTTTTTTGGAAAGAGTGGACAGAACCTGTTGCTCTTCCTCTTTTTAACCGTTATTACTGTAAAGAACACTTTTTTCAGCTTTGGAATACTCTGGTCATTCATGGACCAAGGCCCACCATTTGCAAATGGTAGAGAGGGAACAGTAAAAAAAATCACAGTATACCATGCAACTATAATGGAACCCAAAAGCACATCTCATAACTACATTTGGAGTAAAAAAAAAAGGATTAAGAGTATGACTGCTGAAAGTGGAATGCCATTTTGATGGAGATCGAAGAGACTGGGGGCCTTTTAAAGGATTTGCTACAGGGTACCAATATACATAGCCCTGCCCATAATGCTGCGGTTTCTAAATGCCACTAATGCTCAGCCAATAGTTTGAATTTGTGTCATATTTAACATTATGCACATTTTTCTAATAGCTCATGCACTGCCAATTAAGTCAATATGAATTTACGTACCATTACTGCCTCCTAGAAATGTATGACTTGAAGTGCTAAAAATGAAAAAAAACACATATGAGATGAATGAATACATATATTGTATTCTAAATAAGTTGGCTTTTCTAAAATATTGATAAATCGAATGGGCAAATTTTATGGACTGTTTGGTCCTAAGTTTATCTTTGTATTTTGGTATTCTAAACCGGATATGATTACTGATTGAATATTATATCAAATACAGTACATTCAGATATAAGCATTATTTCTTTCCTTTTTAAGATATAAGGTGAATAGGTATTGCTATAATCTGGGGCCTGCATATATGACAGAATATTTGTTTAGTTGCTTGTCTTGTATGAAATACTTACTGGATATCATGACCGTCCAATAGGCGCTTATAGGTAGCGATCTCCATCTCCAGGTGTGTCTTTTGGTCCATTAGGATACTGTATTCCTGGTTCTGACGTTCCAGGTCAGAGCGTACCTGTGCCAGCTGGGACTCTACACTGTTGATCAAACATTGTAACTGGGCAAGTTGGGCTCCAAATGTGGCTTCTGTCTCTGCCAAGGTGTTCTCCAGAGCAGATGTCTGTGAAAGAAAAGAGAAACATTGAACACAAAATAACAAGTAATTACAATATATAAGTACATAGTGATAGTTTTGCAAATCAAGTGAAGCAAATTGACCTTGATCTAAACCTTATTAGTTGGCTGGTAATAATACTTACCATGCTCAGCTGGCTCTGCAGTTCGATCTCCAGGGTTTGGACGGTGCGATTCAAGTCAATAACTTCGGTCTGTACAGATTGGAGTTGTTCAGAACCAGAAGCAACATCACGATTCAGTTCCTCAGTCTATATGAATAGAAAGCTGGTTAGAGTCTTGTACCCTTTAATATATGGAGGAGGATTTCTACGTAGCTTTACATATGAAGCAAAAGTTATTTTAGTTTTGATCTTGTGAAAACAAATTCCTAATTTATAAATATAGTAAGTATTAATACGTGGATTTGTACTATTCTAGCCTTAAAGCCCAATTGTACTGTGCTCCAGTCAAATATGCTCATTCTCTCTGATCAGGAAGCATGAGGGTAACTGCTTGATGAAAGTATTTCTGATTATGCAGGGGGTATTGCAGACCTCTGGAGAGCTCTCCATAACAGTAGTGACCCTAATCTTCAGGGGTGTTTGGGATGGTGCTGGGGTACTATTCAACAAAAGAATTGAAAGATTACATTTTTCCGCACCCTGACTTGTCTAAAATGTTAAAAACAAATGGACAATTAGTAATAAAGCAAATCGTATTCTTGTTAACTGTTTAATAGTACAAAATCATAATAGTGGCTAATGAACATGCTATTTTTCTATCAGGTTTAACAAGCTGTTTTAGTCTACAAAACGCTTACCCTTTGTCGGAAAATAGTTTCCACCTCTCTCATATTCCGCTCCATCAGGTTCTCATACTGCTCTCTAATTTCAGATAAGGCTCTATTCATATCAGCCGATGGAGCAGCATTCATTTCCACACTGACCCTGGCACCCAGCTGAGCTTCCAAAGCATTGACTTCCTGTCAATAAAAATGTTGGAAACAAGTAGTATAATGGTGGATGCATTTTTGGCAATCTGCATAATGCGTTCTTTAGGGTCTGTGTTTGCAGGCTATGGGCTTGTGTCGAATGACAAATGCAGCCTGCTGTTAGGTGTACATGGGATTGGTTTTAGACACTTCTAAGATCATTTAAGTTCATTGACAAGTGCATTTGAACTGCAGTTGACCTCCTTTTAACCTGCATTTGAATTCTTACTAAGCTTCATCAGTGTCACAATATCTGTAAATCTGTTCCGGATTTTCATTTTGCTCCCTGGTTCTGGGCTGTCAGCCTATGGTGTCTCACAAGGCTGCAGCCAATCTGCTCTCCTCCCCCCCTATTTAGGACTTCCTCACTTCATTTCGGCTCGGGTATTCACTCGGATGCCTTCAGCAGCTCAGTGAAAAAACCCCTAATATTTTGGTTGTGCTCACCTGTCCCCATTCCAGCCAGATTTTGGCTATGCAACCTTGTCAGTGCTAGCTACTCTACTTCGTGCAAGCAATAAGACTTGTTGCTCGTCATTTGGGGATGCTGATATGTCATTACAAATGGGCGGAGCAAGCCGTGAGATCATTGGTGGCTTCGCCAAGCTTTCATTTGTGTGGAGAAAGGTCAGCCCTTCAGCGGACCTTTTTCCATGCTTCAGCTGTCACTTTGGCTCAGTCGAGCCGAAGCATATGCCTTCGGCTCAACTGCTTTCGGCAGCTGTATGGGCTATTGTTGTGAATAGCCTGTACAGCAGCCTTTCGATTTGACTGAATGAAGGGCTCAGGTGGCCAAAGCGAGCAGAAGGATTAGCCAAAGCTACGGCTGGATCTTCCGGCTCCATAGTAAATAACCCTCTAAGTCTAACTACACCAAAGGTGATGAAGATGAAGATATATCTGAGGCTCGGTACTCCTTTTTTGTTCCCAAATAAAAGAGAATCTGGACAGACATTTACCACTGCAAGCAGCATCTTTAAATAGTTATCTACAATCCACAAGGACTGTTGTTAACCATTAACAATGTTCATCTACCAATTAGGAGATTGAAAAGGTGTCAGTTTATCATTTTCAGCAGATCTCTAGAAAGGCAGCAGAAGCGTAAATTAAAAGTGATTTCTGCTTTGTTCTGCCTGCTCGGTATCAACACAATATGAAATATTTTTTAAATATACATTTCTGGTTTAGCTCAATAAGGATAGTAAGCTTCTAACCTCCTCATGGATCCTCCTCATTTGCTGCAGTTCCTCCTGAAGGTTTCCAACTTGTGCCTGCAGATTGCATATGTCCCGATTCAGTTCTTCCAGGAGTATACGAAGTCCATTCACATCAGCCTCAACACTACATCTAAGCTGGCGTTCCATTACATACCTGGTGACAAAGGGAAGACAAAGCAATGAATACTATTGCTTCAAAACAGAAATAAAGATGAGGAGCATGATATATAGAACGGCCTACTTGTTTCTGAAGTCATCTGCTGCCAGACGAGCATTGTCTATTTGTAATGTAATACTTGCATTGTCCAAAGAAGTTGAGGAAATCTGAAAAACATATGTGTTAGATATTTACTGCAAATTATAAATTCATACATTGTATTAAACTGAACTTTGTTCTGTACTAGTTGAGGTGGTTTACTGCATATCTATTATGGCTTGGTAATGTAACATGGCCATTTTCAGTCTCTATTGCATTATGTATTTAAAGAAGCCAATTACCAAATGATTGTTTTCAATATCAATATTCCCATAAAATTAAATATATAATACACAAAGAAATGTGGAAATGTGAGGTAGCTAGACTCTTGATTATCCCTATGCAGCTTTCCAAGGACAGCAAATTTGACTGGATATTTTAACCCCTTCGTGACGGGAGACGTACAGTGTACGTCTTGTCACTTTGTGCCTATATGACTGGCCACGTACACTGTACGTGACGAGTTATATCAGGCTTTGTAATGCCGGTATTTGCTGATTCTCAGCATTTAACAGTCATTCATTAATGTCTCAGTATTGAGGCATTAATTAATGAAATAATTAAGCTTTTTGTAAAAGCTTCTTCCTTTCATTAATGAAAGAATGAAGCCGTTACATGCAAATAGAGGACCGCAATTTGCGATCCCGTATTTGACAGCTCAAAATAGCAGAGAGGCAGCAGTGACTCACCTCACCTCTCTGCTATTCGTTTTGACAGTTCGAGAGCCCGATGTTTAGATACATTTCACTGAAAGAATACAATGTATCTCTTTTGAGTGAAATGTATCATTTCGTCTAGGCACGATCAAAGAGCTTTTAGTGAGATCTGAATCTGACTAAAGTCAGGATCAGTCTCTAAGGTTATTATTAGCTGTTCCTAAGTTTGGATCAGCCTAATAGCCAAAAATAAAATAAAAAAGTTAATTTATCAAGCTGTCATAGTGATTGCTTGATATAAACTGACAAGAAAAAAAAAAGTTTTTTTATTTTATTTTTATTTTTTTTACAAAGTGTAAAAAAATTAAAATAAAGTGTAAAACAAAATTAGGAAAATATAAATTGTATATAAATATATTTTTTATACTATAATTAATATAAAAAAATTCTAAAAAAAATAATAATAATCAAAACTTGTGAAAAAAGTGTTTTCTTCTAGTTTTTTTCCTCATTTTTTTTATTTTATTCAAACTAAGTGAGGGGTTAGGTACACATATGTGATATAATTATATAGCCCTATCTGTCCTCTAAAAAACAATATATAATATGTGTGGGTACATTTAGTAAGAAAGTATATTACTGCTGTGGAAGAATCACACAGCAAAAATGTCAAAAATGTGTCAGTCATTTATGAACAGAACCTGAAAACTAGCTCAGTCATGAAGGGGTTAAAGAAGCTAAGCTGTTTTTATATTTTAAATATGTGGGTATCTATAATGCTCTATATAATTCATACAATATTTGTGCAGATTTGGTGTTCATATTAAAATAATTATTTCTGCAGTCAAAATAATTTCTTAACTATATCACTTATGTAGAGGAAATAATGTATGTACCTGGCCTTGAAGCTCTTGAATAATCCTGAAGAAGCTGCTGAAGTTGGGTAAAGCGCTGGGCTGATTCCTCTCATACCACTCCTGGATATTTCTCTCAAGCTGGGCATTCTCTTGCTCCAGAGAGTGGACTTTGTCCAAATAGGAAGCCAAGCGATCATTCAAGTGCTGCATGGTTTCCTTTCCATTGACAGTATACAAAGCATGATGGCTAAAATTGCTTCCATGGCCGCTGCTGTGAGCACTTCCATGAACATGCTTGCTGATGGAGATTCCTTTACCTCCTGACCCTCCATGTACACTGGGGGCTCTATAGTGGTTGCCATGATGGACTTTATGGGAACTTCCATGCTGGGTGGCATTGGAAGAATGATGAGAACTATGAGAACCTCCGCAATGAAGTCTGTGGGAGCCTCCATGATGAGAAGTATGGGAACCTCCATGGAGGGAAATATGTGATCCTCCATGATGAGAAGCATGAGATAAACCATGAGATAAACCATGTGATAATCCATGTTGGCCAGAAGAGTGGGATCCTCCATGATGGTTATTTGAAGATCCTCCATGACGAGCACCATAGTGACTTGAGATTTTAGACAGATGGCTACCAATATGACAGTTTCCATGAGAGGATCCAGCAGAGGAGTGACCACTGTAAATCATGATGACACAGATGTAAGTGGTACAGTAGAGCTAAAGATGAATTGCACCTTTCTAAGTGGATGTTCTTCACAATATGTTCTCCATCCATTCTGCTCCTTTATATATGGCAGACTGGGAGGGCCATAAAAGATTAATTGCTAATATTAATGTTTACAGTGTCTGACTGCTCATCTATCCAATGCTTTACATGCTTGGCGTGAAGATTTAACATGAAACATTTGGTACGCTGCTTGTAAAACATTAGGCACCTGTAAAATAACTTCAAAATAATAATGTATTGCTGTCCAGCTCATTAGAATCTTTTGCACACCCCACCCTAACTTTATAACAATAAAGGAAGAGATGATAGACTTGTCTGAACACACCTCAAATAAAACATTACAAAATGCAATATTGTATTCATATTAAAAACATTAATCACATTATGCATTTGGTCTTAAACTGGACACAAAGCATTCCATTTTCTTTTTTAAGTTTGAGGTCTGCAAATGTAGCAACAGTGATTGAGTGTGAGTTCCTACCTAAACATTATTTTCAGTGTATATCTATTTAGGTAGCCTTTGCATTTGCATAAATCTTAATTTTCTATCATAATAGCATTTCTCTATTCCATACAATATGCTGAGGAAGAATATAATATTTTTGCAGGCAAATTGTGTTACAAAGAACCGTATACAACACCAAAGCAAACAGAGACCCAAAAAAAAAAGGATTGCAAAGCTAGAACAAGTCAACACCAAAAGGAATTTATTCGGACCTGCTAATTTATTGAGATAACTGTCCATTTTAGTGGTTATGTCACTGAATGTGCACAAGTGTGTTTTTGCTAATTAGAAGATTCAGCCCACTCTGCAGGGCCACTGGGAGATTTCAGCCCCCATAAAGAGAGCAAGATACCAGGGTGACCACAACTAGGAAAATGGTAAGTGCCACTTGTGGGATGTTCACAAAAGGTTTCTGCCATCCCTGCGGGCCAGAGGCTGCACATACTGCTGGTGGAGTACCTTTGCTTTAATGTTGTTCCTGCCTACGTTTTTTGTAATTTCTCACCTTGATGTGGAGTGAGCAGTGTGGGCTTACAGTGCCACTAGTTTTTTACGTTACCGGCATTTCGGAGGCCTTTACCCAGGTGTCTCAGGCGGGGGGTCACACACCCATATGGCTCACTGACTAGGTTTTCTCCCCCCCTCGGGGGGGACGGGGGTCCGACGGGCACCATGGATGGGGTCCCACATCGGTATGTATTTCAATATGGTTGGTGTCTCCCGTCACCCTGAAATGCACCTCAGGGAGATGTTAGACTGTTGTTATGTATTTATTGCCATAATAGATGTGCCCTGCATATATTCACTCAGTATCTTACTTTGTCAATTTACAGCCTCTGCCACCGCGTTTATGCATAGGGTAGCTGTAATAGTGGTCCATGAGGCCCAGGGGATCATCTCCTGGCTACCTGCACTACTGTTACTGTTTTACTTTTATTGTTGTTTTACAACTAGCCCCAAATAAGCTATTGAACGGGTCCTAATATAGAATCTTAGTTTGACCCACCTTGTGTTGTGAAGCATATAGTGTATACCTTGCTGTCTCTCCTGGTCCTCTTCTCTACCCTTGTTGGCCTTTGTTTTCCTTTCTTTCTCCCAGCTTCTTCTCTGCGCTCCCCTCCCCTTTCTCCGGTACCTAACTTCTCAAGCTAGAGGTCCAAGCAGACTCCGATCTACTTGGCCACTGTCATGGGGCCTCTAGTTCTGACTTCTCTGAATGACTGAGGGCTTAATATCCCAGAGAAACGTTCCGGACTTCTGTCTGACCTTAGGCGATCATGCTCCCAGGTGGCATTTATCCAAGAGACCCACTTCTAGCATGATCAAGTCCCTAAACTCATCAATAGGGACTTCCCGTGGTCATACCACTGTCCCTCCCCTCTCTCCAAATCCGAAGGAGTGAGTATACTACTGTCTAAGGATGTCCCGTGGACCTTTTGGAATCAGTTGCTGGACGTTAGCAGCAGGTACATACTCCTCAGGGGGAAATTAGGTGACCCCCGACCACTTGGGGTTCATACAGGCTCTGCTACCACGACTTCTGGGGTTTATGGAGGGAGTCTTGATTATGGGGTGGATCTCAACTTCCCACTGGACCCGCTCTGGGACGTCTCTATAGGGACCTGACATCTTTCCTACACCTACCTGAGAAAGCCTGAGGACGGAATTTCACCTTGTCCAGCTGGTTGATACCTGGCACTTTTTCCATCCTCAAGAGAAGGACTTTATATACTTTTCTGCTCCCTAACAGATGTAACCCTGCATAGACTACCTGTTTGTGCAGCACAAGGACCTCTCCCTGATACGGGGGGCATTTTACTGTCTGACCATGCCCCCCTGCACCTGACCCTTGACTTGCTGGCTCTGAGATCTCTCTGTTCGTTTTGGAGACTCAATGAGTAGCTTTTGCAGGACCCGGTAGTCAAGAACGACATAGATGCAGAAATAAGAGCTTTTTTTACCACCAATGCCCCCACCTCGGCCCCCCCATTCATGATATGGGAATCTCATAAATGTGTCATGAGGGGGATACTCATCAAACATGGCCTGCGGAAGAAAAGGGAAATGACCTCTAGGGTCTCGTTCTTGCTGCATCGCCTTAGGGTGCTGGAGGGGCTGCACAAGAGATCCCAGGCTGTGTGAGCGGGGGCGGAGCTCCTGGAGGTACGGACCAAACTGAATGACCTTTTCTTTAGGCGAATCAAAGGCAGACTGGTTAAGGGTTGTAGGACTCTATGCGAATACTCGGACAAACCTGGGAGATTGCTAGCTAACACTGTCAGGGGATCTCAGCGCAGGCCATATATTTCTCATGTAGTCACCTCGGCTGGCCATAAGGTGTGTGTCCTCATGGTGTACTCGGATATTGCGGCTGAATTTAAAGCATACTACGAGTCTCTGTACAATCTGGGGTCAGAACCCTTGCCCTCTAATAGACAGATGGTCCTCCATAATGCAATATCTCAGGGCCTCCGGGAGGCCACCACTTGCGGCTGGGGATAGGCATTGCATGGAAATTCCGACTCAACCTGTGGGTCCACCTGAAATCCACCTGAGCGGAGAAAGCCCCAGGGCCAGATGGCTTCACGCTCTCTTATTATAATACTTTCTCAAATACCCTGAAGGGTCCCTTCCTGGTGGCCTAAAATGGTATTCTGACAGGTTTGCCCCCCGGCAGATACTCTGCACACATGGATTACGGTGATCCTGAAACCTGACAAAGATCACACCTCCTGCGGCAATTATCGTCCCATTGCACTTCTGAATGTGGATCTGAAATTATTCAACAAAATTATAGCCAACAGGTTAATGCCGTTCCTTCTCCAGCTTGTTCATTCTGACCAAGTCGGCTTTATGCCGACCCGCGTGGCTAGGGACAACACCACCAGAGCCCTCAATGTTGTTCACCAGGCCAAGGGGTTGGGGACCCCGATGATATTGCTATCCACGGATGCCAAAAAAGTATTTGACAGGGTGAGCTGGGACTTTATGTCTTTGGTTCTCCGATACATTGGTCTGGGGAAGAACATGCTAGCATGGATCATGGCATTGTACTCTTCCCTGTCGGCAGCGGTCCGCATCAACGAAACCAGATCTCAGACCTTCCTCCTACACAGGCAGGGGGGTCCTCTGCCCCCCTTAAATTTCGCACTTACTTTAGAACCGTTCCTCCACACTGTACGGAACTCTATGAACATTTCAGGGTTGATGACTCCCCTCGGGGGTCCATAAGACGGCTGCGTACGCGGATGATCTCCTTTTTTTATCACAAATTCGGCGGACTCCCATCCCCACCTACTGGAGGCCTTATCTATCTACGGCTGCCTGTCCAATTTTAGAGTCAATCTTCAAAAATCGGCGGCCCTTAATGTCACTGTGCCCCGAAGGAATTTAAACTTCTGAAGCCTCAGTTCCCCTTTCGCAGGGAGATGCGACACATCAAATCCTTGGTCAAGCAAATTAAGCTAGCACCACTAAGATTAACCTTAGTGGTGAGACAAGTTGTTTTACATGCTGACTTGTGAGTGTGCCATGATGCCTTTCTACTGTTTACATCAAATCCTTGGGCACATTCCTTCCCAGGGACTTAGACGACATCTATTCCGATAACTTTCTCCCGCTTATGAAAAAAATTCCCTTGATCGCAAAGCCTGGCGCCACCTTCACATTACATGGTTTGGCCGCTGTGCAGCGGTAAAAATGAACATCTTACCATGGGTCCTGTACCTTTTGCAATCTCTCCCTATCAATCTACCCGCTCACTTTTTTAAGACATTACATGGGGATATCATCTCGTTCATATTGGCAGGCAAAACTCCCAGGTTGAGCAGACATATTCTTTCCCTTCCCAGGGATAGAGGGGGGTGGGGCTTCTGGACCTTTCTATCTGTTATTCCGCTATACACCTGTCTTGGCTACTCGACTGGTGCCTCCATTAAGAGGACAGATGTTGGGAGGTGATGGAACAGAGTATCTTCCACCTCCCGATCGAGGGCCTTCCATGGCTATCCTCCACGCTACCCAGGGGGGAATGGGAATCCCTCCCTCAGCCTACCTTGACAGTCTCCTATGCCCACATGCATCTGGTTCGATACCCATGCATCTGCCTTCCACAGGGACTATGACCCCTGATAGGAGCGTCGGGCTCTGCCGGGGCCCACCCTCTTATTCCTACTGCCTTTTCCTTTGACTACGAGACACAGGTACTTTCAGGAATCATAGCTTGCCAAGGAGCTTCCCTATCAACAGGGGTAGATCTCTGCAGACTCTTGGAGGTAAGCAATAATTTTGTACTGGAAATTAACACGTTTGCAATGTTATAACTTTATAAGTATGGATGTACATGTACAATACAGTGTAGTCTGTTTTATTATGGAATCTGTGGACTTTGTATACCTACTTCCCATACTGTTATTGTATTCTTAGGAATTATATCAGTCAATAAAAAATTTAAAAAAAAAAGGAAAATGGCTCTTTGACCTGAACCAAAACAGCGATCTGTTGTTGGACCTCTATCTTGCAAGTAAAACTTAATGTAATATTCCTCAAGAGCTCAGTGCTTCATTATAAGCATAACCAACAATCTTAATCTTGGGGCTGCCCCTTCAATCTTGCTGCTCTAGGCACCAGCCTGCGAGTGCCTTCTGGTAAAATAGCCCTTCTTATACACATACCTATACATTTATATTTTATGTCGATTTTGTTTTTTACCTTTGCAAAGAAAATTATCTATGCACAGGGGCGTCCCGCGGCTGGGTGACACCCGGAGCGGTAACCGAGTGCCACCCCGCCGAGACGTCACTGCGCGTGTGCGTGGCGTCACCACACGCATGTGCGATGGCGTCATCCCGCACGCGCGGCAGTATTCTGATACCTGCCGGTGGCCATCTTGGTGATGGACGTCGGCAGAGAGAGGAGGGGACAGTCACCCGCCGGGTCACCTCCTCTCTCCTGATACTGTCGGGCATTCGGTCTATGACCGAGCGCCCGACTTTTCAGAGGGGGGTACAAATGTCCAAGGACCTGTAGCACACCTTACCGGACTTCCCATGTGGAAAAATGGGTGCTCGCAATGACTGGCGCCGTATCGGATAAAATGTTGTATGGATGTCACCAGCACTCCAAGTATGACAGAATACGTCAGGATTTTAGTGAATCTTCATTTTTATTTTCGAAGTCACTTAAAGTGGAAACCAGTTTCCACTTTAAGTGACTTCGAAAATAAAAATGAAGATTCACTAAAATCTTGACGTATTCTGTCATACTTGGAGTGCTGGTGACATCCATACAACATTTTTCAGAGGGGGTGACACCAAAATGACTGAGAGTCATTTTGGTGTCATCCCTCCAATGGTGTCACCCGGGTGCGGGCCGCACCCTCCTTGTGACACCACTGTCTATGCATCATCAATAACACAAACACAGCTGGTTGCAGGAACAAAATAAGACTTGTTTTATTGAAAATTGAGTAGGCGACAAGGACAAGAGAATCATGATCAAAATTCAGCAGATTACATCAGTAGTACACCAGATTATGGATAGTCACAATTATAGTCACAATAATCCTAAAACAATCTAAATAACCAGAGTCTAGGTCTCAGTGTATCCACCACATTAAAATTATGCATACTGCATGCTAATGCTCCATTAATATATACAAACGTAGACAATACCAATATGTTTCTAACATATGATTACAAAAATGTTATTACAATGAATAGAATGTCTGTATAAACCTTTTTCTGGATTATGTTAATAAAACTCCCTGAAGCCTCAACAGACAAAAGAAGAGTTCCACTTTGATTAGGCATGCTTTTATGTATGCATTCACGTACCATTCACTATTTTAACTATTTCTATAGTCAAACCTTAAGGTGCTGTGTCTGGAATAAGTAATTGTGGGTCCTAATAATAAGGAAGTACACAGCAAAGGAGAAATAGCAACACATCAGATCCTTACACTGATCGGCCTGGTTCATATTTGTACTCATTTGGCACATAATCATTGTACTTTGCACAATTAATTCAGAATTACTGATCATGTTTCACCATCTGAGTAAAGCAAACTGTATTGCAACTGTGTATGCTATAAGGGCTCATTTGCATTCAGGCTTCATTGTGCATTGTGACACACTGTTTTACCATAGCTCATTTCTTATGAATGGGCCATCGAAGCAGGAAAAATTGCATTTGCTCTATTTTTCGGCAGCAAACCGCTCATTATTGTAACACAATGGTCTGAATGAGCCCTAAAGGTATTAAAAGTGCTCCAAGAAGACAGAAATACATTTTAAATTTTGCGCTCAAGCACAATGCAGTCCACAAAATATTATTCAGTAGACTAAAATGTCTTCATTCTGCATGGATCTTTGTAAGCTTTTGAATGAAGGCCAGAACGCCATAGATTCTATAATTCGTAGGTCAACGTGTTGGAATTGAGTGCTTAACTTCAATAGTCTATCACCATCCTATAGAGATGAACATGTCTCTAACTAATCAAAAACCTTGCATAATTTCGATTGTGTCTACTGTGTATGGATCTGGGTGGATCTTGTTCATGTCCCATGCCAAGTTTGCCTGGATGAAGCAGATCCCAGAGGTCACATAAGAAGAAGACAGAGATAGACACCAAAAGACTTCTGGAGACAGTTTAATACTCTCATCAACAGGGTTTCTCCAGAAGACTAAAAACCACATTAACATACACTGTGGTGATGATTACTGTGGCTAGCCATATGGTGAGCTTTCATTGAGTGGTGAGATCCTGAAAGTAGAAGATAAGATATTTAAATGTATTAGTAATCTATGTCACATTATTAAGGGCTCCAAATTGTCTATGCATTTCAAATCTTTGCACCACATTCCACTTGTTATTGTTATATAATGAGTCAGACTGAAAAATAGATATCCAATGAGGTAAAAAAAAGGACAGAAATTTTTTTTAACATATCCTCGGAGCCCTGAATCTGCACCAGTACCCCCATATCATCACCCAGAAAGGGAGAGGATATTTAACAAATGTATTATGCATGGTGCAATTTTCTTCCTGAGCCCTAGACAATTGGATTAGCGAGGCTTTTCACCAAGGAATCCTCATGAGATTGGAAGAGGTTTCACAAGCAGTGAGGAATCTATTCCCCCCATGGTATATGCATAACTCCAGAACCAACATTACTCAGTAGAGACAGTGGAGTGGCACCACTGGAGCCTCTTCTTTATTTTCTCAGGTAAGTAACCACAGACCTCAAAAATCTCTTTAAAATGTATGTCGAGTCGAAACCTTTCTTTGAGCTCTCTGTAGAATGGGGAAGTGTTAGACTTTCTGTCTGGGAAAACTGTTGCTACTGGGACAGTAAATGAGAGAAACTTCGGAAATAGGGATACTGAGACTTGAAAAGTATTTATCTGATAAAAAGGTGGAGAAAGGCTGTCCTGAACAAACATTCTACTATGTACAAGACTATGTATGGTATTTGAAAATGTATTAAGCCTTTTATAGTTTGTAGTTTTATAAAAGCACCCAACTTTTTTTGGAAAGAGTCTACAGCTAGAACCTGTTACTCTTTCTATTTTTTACACACTATTAATGTAAAGAACATTTTATGAAGCTTTGGAATACTCTGGGTCATTGTTGGACCAAGGCCTGCCCTTTGAAAATGGTAGAGAAGGAACAGGCAGGTTGCTATTGAACCAGTGATAATATTGCCTCTCTGAAAGCCGTTTGTCCCATAGTACATAAATAAAGATCACAGTATACCATGCAAATATTATGCACCCCGAAACACATCTCATAACTACATTTGGAAAAGTAAAATTATATAGAGTATGACTGCTGAAAGTGGAACGCCATGTTGATGGAGATCAAAGAGCCCGGGTGACCTTTTAAAGGATTGGATACAGGGTGACAATATACATAGCCCTGCTCTTTATGCTGCAGTGTGTAAATGCCACTAATGCTCAGCAACTTAGTTTGAATTGTCCCATATTTTACATTCTGCATATTTTTCTAACAGCTCATGAACTGCCACTTAAGTCAATATAAGTTTACGTACCATCACTGCCTCCTAGAAAATTATGACTTGAAGTGCTAAAAATGAAAAAACACAGTAGAGATTAATGAACAGGTTGGGATTTCTAAAATATTAATATAAAATGGGCAAATCTGATGGACTGGTCCTAAGCTTATGTCTGTATTTTAATGTGTTCTAAAACTTTTGTGATGGCTGAATATTATATTAAATACATTCAGATATAAGCATTATTTATTTCCTTTTTAAGATATGAGGTCAATAGGTATTGCTATTAATTGAGGCCTTCATATTTTACAGAATATTTGTTTAGTTGCTTGTCTTGTATGAAATACATATTGGATACCATGACCGTCCAATAGGCGTTTATAGGTGGCGATCTCCATCTCCAGGTGTGTCTTTTGGTCCATTAGGATCCTGTATTCCTGGTTCTGACGTTCCAGGTCAGAGCGGATCTGGGCCAGCTGGGACTCTACATTGTTGATCAAACATTGTAACTGGGCAAGTTGGTCTCCAAATGTGGCTTCTGTCTCTGCCAAGGTGTTCTCCAGAGCAGATCTCTGAGAAATGAAAGAGAGAGATTGTGAACAATGTAACAAGTAGTTACAATATATACGTACATAGTGATAGTTTTGCAAATGAAGTGAAGCAGCTTGACCTTGATACAAACCTTCTTAGTTGGCTGATAATAATACTTACAAAGCTCTGCTGGCTTTGCAGTTCGATCTCCAGGGCTTGGACGGTGCGATTCAAGTCAATGACTTCAGTCTGTACAGATTGGAGTTGTTCAGAACCAGAAGCAACGTCACGATTCAGTTCCTCAGTCTATATGAATAGAAAGCTGGTTAGAGTCACCTACCCTGTAATATTACCCTTTAATATATGGAGGATGATTTCTACGTAACTTTATATATGAAGCACAAGAAACTTCAGTTTTTATCTTGTGTAAACATGCTCTTATTTTTAAATATAGTCTTAATAAGTGGCTTTATACTTTTCTAGCCTTAATGCCCAATTGTACTGTGCTCCAGTCAAAAATGGTCATACTCCCTGATAAGGAAGCATGAGCATGACTGCTTGATGAAAGTATTTCTGATTGTGCAGGGGCTATTGCAGACCTTTGTAGAGCTGCACATGAGAGTAGTGGCCCTGATCTTCAAAGTGAAGGGGAGATTGGGATGGTGCTGGAGTGCTTTTAAACAAAAGCATTTTTCAGCAACCTGACTTGTCTACATTAAAAAAACACAAAACATTTTTAGTACAAAATCATGACATAATAGTGGCTAATAACATGCTATTTTTCTATCAAGTTTAACAAGCTTTTTTAGTCTATAAAAAGACTTACCCTTTGTCGGAAAATAGTTTCCACCTCTCTCAGATTCCGTTCCATCAGGTTCTCATACTGCTCTCTAATTTCAGACAAGGTTCTATTCAGATCAGCTGATGGAGCGGCATTCATTTCCACACTGACCCTGGCACCCAGCTGAGCTTGCAAAGCATTGACTTCCTGTAAAGAAAAATGTTGGAAACCATTAGTATTATAGTCTCTGCTATGAGAAAGAAGAAAGTTCTAAAGTGAGCAAAAGCCCTTCAACACATGTCTTTACTCTGGCAAGCCCCTGTCATGCTTATTATCCGTCACATTGTTTTTTTAGAATAATTCTTAAAGTAGATTTAAACCACAATAAATAAAACCTCATATGGTCTTTCATATGCAAATATCATTTTAAATGTCACTTTAAGACTTAGACTGAGGTAACACTGACAAAGTTGCATAGTCAAATCCTGGTTGGAATGGGGACATGTAAGTACAACCTAAATAATAAGTCTTACTGTATCAAAGGTAATGAAGATATACCAGAGGCTCGATCCTCCTTTTTTGTTCTTAAATAAAAGCGAATCTGGACAGAAGTTTACAACTAAAAGCAGGATCTTTAAATAGTTCTCTACAATGTACAAGGACTGTTGTAATCCACTAACAATGTTCTTCTATGGATTAGGAGATTTAAAAGGTGTCAGTTTATCATTTTCAACAGATGTCTCTAGAAAGGCAGCAGAAGCCTAAATAAAAGTTATTTCTGCTTTGTTTCAAGCTGCTCTGTATAAATAAATTATGAATTATTTTATTTTAATATACATTTCTGGTTTAGCTTGAGAAGGATAGTAAGCTTCTCACCTCCTCATGGTTCCTCCTCATTTGCTGCAGTTCCTCCTGAAGGTTTCCTACTTGTGCCTGCAGATTACATATGTCCCGGTTCAGTTCTTCCAGGAGTATACGAAGTCCATTCACATCAGCCTCAACACTACATCTCAGTTGGCGTTCCATTTCATACCTGGTGACAAAAGGAAGACAAAGCAATTAATACTATTGCTTCAAAACAGTAATAAAGATGAAGAGCATGAAATATAGAGAGGCCTACTTGTTTCTGAAGTCATCTGCTGCCAGACGAGCATTGTCTATTTGTAATGTAATACTTGCATTGTTTAAAGAAGTTGAGGAAATCTGAAAAACATGTGTTAAATATTTATTGCAAATGAAAACTTCATACATTGTATTAAACTGAACTGTGTTCTGTACTAGTTGAGGTGGTTTACTGCATATCTATTATGGCTTGGTAATGTAACATGGCCATTTTCAGTCTCTATTCTTTATACATTATGTACTTAAAGAGGCCCGTTAACAAACGATTGCTTTCAATATCAATACTCCCATAAGATTATATATGCATTTATATTTTATGTATGTTATTTACGTATAAAAGCTTCTCTTGTGTAGACATCCAAAAGCCCTGAGACTGTTGCTGGGTGCCACCACCTTGGATATGATGTCTGCAGGCCCAACAGACTTAGAGCTGTCACTCAAGTGGCCCCTTTGATCCTTCCCCAGCAGCTACAAAAAAAAGTTCATGTAGGGAAGGGCAGAGGAGTTTGGCAAGCACAGACAGTAATTAGAAACTCCCATAAGAGGGCAATGAAGGAGGGCTCCTCCATACCAGGAAGTAACAGGTATATTTTTGACCCCCAGCATGGAATGCCAAAGCAGGCAAGAGACGGAAAGTTAAGTACATGCTGGGTAGAGGGATTACATAAATCCTGTTGCTTTGTTTTGAATTATTTTAGCGTAGGTTTGTTTTAAAGGATCAGTCTACTTAAATAATTATACTAATATTTGCAAATGCTAAAAAGTGTTTTGAGCTCTGCTATGAGTTCCCAGATCTGCACTCCTGATGAAGACATTATGATGAAGTCACATTCAACCTGTTGGATTGCCACAGATTGGATATAACCTATTGGAATGCAAAAAGAGGGAAAAGCCTAAGATTGGTTAAAGCACAACGAGGAATTTTGGGAGGCATAAATCAACACTTCCCACGAAAATGTGTTGATCCCTCCTTTGATATTACCTAGTATGCAAGTACCTTTTATAACTGCATGTGTCTGCTGACAACTTTATATATAGTACAAGGAAATGTGAAGTAGCTAGACTCTCTAGATTATCCTTATGCATCTCTCCAAGGACAACAATTTGACTGGATATTTTAAAGAAGCCAAACTCTTTTCATATTGTTAATAGGTGGGTATCTATAATGCGGTATATCATTCATACAATATTTGTGTAGATTTGTTGTTAATATTAAAATAATTATTTCTGCTGTCAAAATAATTTCTTAACTTCTATATCACTTATGTAGAGGAAATAATGTATTTACCTGGCCTTGAAGCTCTTGAATAATCCTGAAGAAGCTGCTGAAGTTGGGTAAAGCGCTGGGCTGATTCCTCTCATACCACTCCTGGATATTTCTCTCAAGCTGGGCATTCTCTTGCTCCAGAGAGCGGACTTTGTCCAAGTAGGAAGCCAAGCGATCATTCAGGTGCTGCATGGTTTCCTTCCCATTGACGGTAAACAAAGCATGATGGCTAAAATTGCTTCCATGGCCGCTGCTGTGAGCACTTCCATGAGCATGCTTGGAGATGGAGATTCCTTTACCTCCTGACCCTCCATGTACACTGGGCGCTCTATAGTGATTGCCATGATGGACTTTATGGGAACTGCCATGATGGGTGGCATTAGAAGAATGATGAGTATTATGAGAACCTCCGCAATGCAATCTCTGAGAGCCTCCATGATGAGAAGTATGGGAACCTCCATGAAGGGAAATGTGTGATCCTCCATGATGACCAGCATGAGATAAACCATGGTGGTGAGAAGAGTGGGATCCTCCATGATGGCTACTTGAGGATCCCCCATGGTGAGAAGCACGAGATAAACCATGGTGGGGAGAAGAGTGGGATACCCCATTATGAGAAGTATGGGAACCTCCATGAAGGGAAATTTGTGATCCTCCATGATGACCAGCATGAGATAAACCATGGTGGTGAGAAGAGTGGGATCCTCCATGATGGCTACTTGAGGATCCTCCATGATGAGCACCATAGTGGCTTGAGATCTTAGAGAGATGGCTACCAATATGGCAGTTTCCATGAGAGGATCCAGCAGAGGAGTGACCACTGTAAATCATGATGACACAGATCTAAGTGCTTCAGTAGAGCTAAAGATAAATCGTACTATTCTAAGTGGATGTTCTTCACAATATGCTCTCCATCCATTCTGCTCCTTTATATATGGAAGACTGGGAGTGCCATCAAAGATTAATTGCTAATATTAATGTTTACAGTGTCTGACTGCTCTTCTATCCAATGTTTTAGATGCTTGGCATGAGGATTTAACATTAAACATTCGGTAATCTGCTTGGAAAACATTAGACAACTGTAAAACAACTTCAAAATAATTAATTTATTGCTGTCCAGCTCATTAGAAACTTTTGCACACCTCACCCCAACAGTATAACAATAAAGGAAAAGATGATTGACTTGGCTGAACACACCTTAAATAAAAGATTCACAAATGCAAAATCATAATCATACACTATTAAAAAAACGTTAATCACAGTATGCATTTGGTCTTAAAATGGACACAATAGACACAAAGCATCCCATTTTCTTTTCAGTTTGAGGTCTGCAAATATAGCAGTGATAGAGTGTGAGTTCCTACCTAAACATTATTTTCAGTGTATATCTATTTAGGTAGCCTTTGCATTTACCATCTGCTAAATCTTAATGATCTGTTATAATAGCATTTCTCTATTCCATACAATATGGAAGAATAGGGGAAAGAATATAATATTTTTGCAGGCAAATTGTGTTACAACAAACAGTATACAACACCAAAGAAAACAAGATGGAAAAAAAGGATTGCAAAGCTAGATCAAGGCCACACTAAAAGGAATATAATGGGACCTGCAAATTTATTGAGGTAATTGTGTGTTTAGTGGTTATGTCACTGCATGTGCATAGGCTGTGTTTTTGCTAATTAGGGAATTCAGCCCACTCTGCAGGGCCACTGGGAGATTTCAGCCCTCATGAACAGAGTGAGATACCTGGGTGACCACAACAAAGAAAATGGCTACTTGACCTGAACCAAAACAGCAAGCTGTTACTGGACCTCTATCTTGCTTTGTCCTTAACTAACATTGTGTTCAAACGTAGGAATGATCAGAAGTTTGCCTGCTGCAAGAATCAAAGGTTGTCAAAAATATATCTGCTTTACCTTATCCGATGACCTCTGTTGTCCACTACTGTAATGTGTTTGGCAGATAAGCACAGCTGTCAATTGATTTACATTTCTTGCTGAGCAGGGCATGTTTAGGCCCAAGAGAATGCAATATGAACACTTTATGAATGCAATAAGGCCACTTTCTGAATGGTTTCAGTTTTAAAATCACCCATCAAATACTATGCCCAACAGAGCAATACCAAGAAGGTGGTAGCAAGAACAATCAGCAGAAGCAAAAGTATGGACCCGGTAGCCATTTGGTGCAGCTTAAGTCAAAAATTGGTAGCTCAAAGGATGTTCTGGTAAACTGTCAGCAACTAAGTATGTCTAAGCAGATCAGATTCCAGATTGTGGTAAACAAGACTGTGAAATTGCTGACCACTATTAACCTCCCTGGCGGTATTCCCGAGTCTGGCTCGGGGTTGTCCCTGTGAGCCCACGGTGTCCTCTGCTGTACGCGGCCGGTCGATGCGGGCATCTGAGTTTTAATTTCCTTTCCGGGCGTCACAGAGGGGGGCGGAGCCGGTGGGAAATTCAAAAGTGAAAACATGACATATACACAGAATACAATGTAATCTGCTATGATATAAAACTATTTCACTTCAATTTTGTCCCTAGAGCTTTGTCCAGTGCCCTGCCTGCACTTTTACTGTTCTTTCTGCCTGGAAACTTGTGAACGTCCATGGCATCCAAAAAGCGTCCCTTTATATCAAAAGCTGTTTTAGACCAGGTAGAAAACTGTGATTGTAAATTAGAATCACTTGCAGAATTGAGCGATAGCGATTCCTTGGGAAATTCGTCATCAGACGCTGAAAGTCAATTTCAGTGTCTGATGATGAATTTCCCAACGAATCGCTATCGCTCAGTTCAGCAAGTGATTCTAATTTGCTATCGCTGTTTTCTACCTGGTCTAAAACCGCTTTTCACCTAAAACAGTGACGATTCTGCGACCAAGCTCAGTGATGTGCGAATTTGTTACTCTATTGACCGTGGCACGGATCAGGTAGCGCCCCCAGAATTCCCATTTACTGGACCATTATTTTTATTATTACATTATAATTATTTAGAAAGATTTATTATATTATAATTTATGATTTTGTGTTTCAAACTTTCTCATACCCGGGATGTCTACTAGACTTTTGTTTGGACAGATTTAGGTGAGTTATTCCTAAGATTTACGGACCTACAATATAAAACAACAAATTTCCATGAAAAACAATGTACCTCTTTGGGATGCTAAAATCCTGAATAATCATACCGCCAGGGAGGTTAAACAGCTGAGCCATGGGCCACAAGTCTCTTCCCCCATCCCATGAGGCACATTGAGAAGAGTACATGCCCCAAACCTGTTCACATGAGGTCACCTACTTCAGCCCTTCCTTGTTTTGTGCAAAACTGAGCTGTAACAATTGCCGTAATCTCTGTTCCTCCTGTTGGACATACAACTGCATATACTGATATACTTATATAATTTGTCTTTTGAGCTGTAGATGGCAGTCTAGTACAATGTTAGTCTCTATGTGCATGCATATCTGTGATACACAGGAAGTTTTTTTCTTCTTTGTTTTTCTTCACAATGCCATATTCATACATGTAATAGTCTTCTTAGCAAGTAAAACTTAATTCAGCATTCCTCAAGATCTCAGTGTTAAACACATAACCAACAAGTAATGGGCCCAAGCATTAAATGGAACACTGCAAATAATGGTCCCTGAAAGGTGGGGAATTTATTTACCCAGTAAACCAGAAAAGAAACTGAGCAAAGTGAAGCTGCGCAGAAGTCAGATCAAGAGGTGGAACTCATAATGGATAAGTCAAGTCCCTTTTTTAAATTCTGCTGAACAGCCTGAAATTAGAATATCCACTCGAGCAACAAAGGGAATACCACCCTGCAAGCTGTCATATACTGCTAAGACACATAGCATACTCGAACCAACATCATGGGAAGACCTCGAAAAATTACCAAAATGCAAAGTCAATCAATGGAGGAATAGGAACCAAATGGACTTTTAAGGTGAAGCTCTATGCAAAAGGAAATGTCCACAAATACAAGGCTAGATTAGTTGCCAGGGGATAATCCCAGAGATTTGGAGAAGACTCTGATGAAACATTTGCCTCATCTTAAAACACTCCACCATCAAAACACTCCATAGCATTGCAGTCGGGAAGGGCATGCAAGTTACAAACCTTTAGACGTGAAATGATTAAGCTCAGGTGGTGAAACGTGTGAGAGGCGTTGGAGAGACTTATGGAGGTGTATATGTTGCATATTGTATTTTGGAATTTATTTGATTTTACTTTTTGGATTTACTTTATTCAAATAAATGTTGAGCTTCACTTACGCTGGTCTTTGTGTGACTTATCTTTTGGAGATTGATTTGACAAGTGAGGATTCCACCGCAGCTGGCACCCAGTATCTGTATTAACTGCACTTAGAGGTAGAATCAGAGCGGTGAGTTCACAGAGTTCTTTGACCAAAATGTTAAAACCGCTTTCCTATATGGAGACATTAAGGAAGACCTCTACATGGAGCAACCACCAGGGACACAACCTTGTGTGTAAACTCCATATAAGTATCTATGGACTCAAGCAATCTGCAAGAATGTGGAATGAGAAAGTGAATAAAATACTCATGAAAGAGGGATTCACAAGAAGCTCAGCAGATCACTATCTTTATTCCAGGAATCAAGAAGACAGATGGATATACATCCTAATTTACGTTGATGACATTATAACCTGTTTTGAACAAGAAGAAGACTATAGTCAAATAATTAATAAACTAAAACAAAACTTTGAAATTAAAGAGATAGGAATCATTAGTCACTATCTGGGAATTCAAATAGGCAAGAAGATGGAAGCTATCTGCTAAACCAAAGTCAGAAAATTGCAGAAATGTTGGAACAATTCCACATCCAAGATACAAAGGAAGTAAAAACACCTATGGAACCAGGCTACCAAAAGAGCAATGAAGATGAAAACTTGCTACACAACAATGACATGTACTGCAGAGCAATCGGAAAGCTACTATACATTGCTACTGTGACAAGACCAGACATAGAGGCAGTCATAGTGGGCATACCTTTTAGAAAAATTGCAGCACTGTCAGCGTGACTTAAACACAGTTAAGAGGGTGATACAGTATTTAAAAGGAACAATTCGGATGAAGCTATGACTACCAGCAGTTTCAAATGAAAAACTGGTTGGGTATGTGGATGCTGATTGGGCCAGAGACTGCACAGACCACAAATCCACAAGTGGTTACTGTGACGGAAGCCTCTGTTACTGTTATTTGGAGGGGGTTCTTCCCACTGGCTATAATCCTTGACTGTGGAGGGGGTTCTATTGTTTGGGAGAGGGGCTTGCCATGGTTCTTTGAGCTGTATGAGACCCTTTATTTATGCT